TAATGATGATAATAATAATGATAATGATAATAATAATAAAAAGTAATAACAACAACAACAATATAATAATAAATAATAATAATAATCGATTTTACGAATTTGGACCTCCGAATTTAGTGTCCATCTCTGGTAGAACCATGACAATCGATAGTGGCGTAAAACTATTACACCATTTCAATTACAATTTCACAAGGAAGCCTGATAGTAGCAAAAACGATCCATACCATTGGCATGTTCTCTCTCCATAGATTACAGTGTACTGCCCATTAAAAGCTAGATAAAAATGAAGAAAACAACAATACATTCTTCTTCTTCTTCTTCTTCTTCTTCTTCTTCTTCACTTTCCCAGTAGTTGAACGTCGCTTCTGCGACCTTCCTGCACTAAAACCCTCGACCTGTGTCTTGGCATTCCTCCTGCCTGTCTTGTTCTGGTAAGAAGCCAGGCTTCTAATGTGGTAGATATGGAGAGATATAGATAGTATATAATTGTGTTGTCTGGGTGTGAGAGACATTGGCAGCTGTCCTAATCTACCTCCTCCTCTCTTACCAGGGTGACGGTGGTCTAGTGGTCAGACTCTCCGACTCTCAACCGTAAGGTTGTGGGTTCGAAATCCGCCAAGAGGGGTCCCACGTTTTGCTCTTGAGAAAGGCATTAAACATAAATTTTCCTCACTTAATTAACCCGGGAGGGAAATTGTTATAGATTGCTATAGATGGCGAAAAATTTTGTCAGTTTGTTGGTCTTTGAGCGCGTGTATTCCGCGGCTTACGCTGTATGCTTCAGAATACCATCGAGTTATAATCAGAATATCTAGCTTAACATTATTATTGTATACTGTTCATTTATATTTAAGCATATGACTGTAAGCCTGTTTATGAGTGCACGCATATTGCGAGTGTGTGGATGTGTGAGTGTGTGTGTGTGTGTGTGTGTGTGTGTGTGTGTGTGTGTGTGTGCGCGCGTGCGTGCGTGCGTGCGTGCGTGTGTGTGTGTGTGTGTGTGTGTGTGTACACGTGGTGAAACACCAAACCAATGTACAAGGATCAGGACAATAAAGATGTATCTTATCTTATCTTATCTTATCTTACAATCTTATCTTGTCTTATCTGATACGTATGTTTTTCGGGTATCCAAGAATGTTTCCAACTGTTCTGTATTCTGCTGGGATAATACTAGATATAAATAACATAGCGCGTGACGTAGAGCACAGGTGTCAAACGCAAGACCCACAGGCCACATCCGGCTTGGCGAAGTGTCATAACCAGCCCGCCACAGAATTCTTGGCAGTCCATTCAGGGAATCTTCATAACACAGAACCTTACACCAAACATAAACACACAACGGGGGATATTAACATGTTCTTATGCACAGTAGAATAATATGTAAATGTGTTGATTTATCAATGCCATGCCCATACTGTGTTGGAACAACATAGGGGGAACTGCTGTCTTTTCTTTACTCATCCTTACTCTCGTCATTTTTCCTCTACTTCTCTTGTATGTTTGCCAATCTCTTGTGGCCTGCTATTTCCGGGATGCTTCGAGAGCAGACTTTGTGCTGTTGAGGCTAGAGAGGTGAGCAGAGTAAGTCTGATTCCCTGTTTGGACTTCTTCTCTTTTTACATCCACCCCTTGGCGCTCATGGCCTTATGCAGTTGCGAGCGCCATAAAACCTGACTAAAACTAACTCTGAGTGTTCTGTATTCTGCTGGAGTAATACTAGATGTTGTGTATTGAGTTAAATTTAGAACATAGGTGTCAAAACTCTAGACCCACAGGCCACTTCCGGCTTGGCGAAGTGTCATAACCAGTCCGCCACAGAATTCTTGGCAGTCCATCCAAAGAATCTTCATAACACAGAACCTTACTCCAAACATAAACAGACGTGTTGCCGAGAACAGGATGTCAAACAGCTAGCTCTGACACGTCTGCTTCAAAGCACGGACATCATCACCACTAAGTGCCAGATCTGCGACAGATTTCGGCAATCCTGGTTCGCCATTCATTCCTTTTCTCAGGTACTTAAAAAAATCCCGTATTATCCTGATTATTATTATTAATTTTTATTATTATTATTACTATTATTATTATTATTATTGTTATATTACTATTATTATTACTAT